CATGGGTGACAGCCGGCTGGCAGGTGTCCCGCAGGAGCTGAGGGACTGAGGATGCAGGAGCTGTGCCTGGGAATAGCTGGAGGAATTACACTCGAGAGGGATGGGGAGATACCAAGGGCGGCCACCGACCTGCACGTAATGGCTCACCACTGGTGAGGTACCCCTGGGCTTCCTCTGTCAGGCAGCACGCAGGCCTCGCCCGTTTTGTGCTGGAACTGCAGTAAAACACCAGAGAAAATCCCTGGGACAGGGAGAGGCAGGAGCAGCAGGCGAGTTGCACGAAGCCCTGTGCTCAGAGGAGTTTCACTGGGGGTTACAGCGTGGTACTCTGAGCATTTCTTCATTGTGGGAGCAGGAGGCTCCGAAAGGCCTCCCGCCACATGCTACCTGAGGCAAGGGCTCATAGCTTCTCACGAAGGCATTCGAGGGGTTTAGAGCAGAGACTGAGAAGTCCCCAAATGGCAAGGGTAGGAATCCTCTAGCCTGCACACAACCTGAGCGCCGGTGATCCTGATGCTTGCCACGCTCAAACATCTGTAGCTCTGGCTCTGTTCACTCAGTTGCTCAGCCAGTTGCAGTTCAGTTTCCAAAAGTGGCTGCTCTCCGGCAAAGCTCAGGGGAGCAAATTCAAGCAAACCACTCCTATGGAAATAGGTCCATCATGGTTGTAAGTGAGGAGAGCAAGCCCTGGCTGGTCTGGCCTACTGAGATACTTCTGCCTCCCCTCCTATCTCTGCCCTAGCATGGGAGAAAAGGCATCTTTGCTCAAGTCATCCTTGCTTGGGCTTGTGTGTCGCTCCCTCCGTTCATGGCTAGCAGAGAGCGATCAGTGCTGACAGACAGACTAGTGCTCCCTTGCACACTTGCTGTGGTGCTGGGGGCTCCTACTGCTCGCCTTCTCCAGATCTGTGACGGGACAGGGATTAGGGCAAACGTGGCTGTGACACAAGGCAGTGCTGCTTGGTCATGGGCACTGCTGAACTGTCTGCCAAGGTCTTTGGTAAGAGACCAGGAGAACACTAAATACTTGAAGACATTTTAAAAGCAGACACCTGGTATCTATTTGCTGCCCTGCTCTTTAGGTGCAAGCAGTTAGCCATGGCTAGGAGCCCTGCAGTTGTCGGCTATATCTCAGTAATTTTATACACAGGAATATTCACAATGTCCTGTTCCTTTGAACTCAGTCGAGACAGCAGGCTGTTCCTTTGCTCAGAAACATAGCCTTGTTCTCCCCACTTAGCCATTCCCTTATGCATCAGGAGACAGGTCCAACATCTGCTGAAGGTAATGGAAAGACATGGATGGTTTTCAATGGGAGTTAGATCAGCGTTCAGATAAACAGACAAGGGCTTATCGGGCTTTGTGCTGCGGGGAGCAAGATACTCACCCAGTAAATAGCGGGAGAAGTGGTGCTGGCTGTGGACAGACCATTATTTGTCCTTCTGAAACTATGGGAAGGCACTGGGAGACTATTACCACTTGAGTAACTTCACTGCAAGGGGAAGCAAATTACTCTAACTTAGTGGAACCATCTGTGTGGATATACACACACCGGTTTTTATTCCATGCCTGGCCAGGTAGCCTTAGCTTAAAGTACCTAAGAGACAAAATTCAGTGCACAGCCTGGGTTAACGGTGTGGTGAGAATGTACCTTCAGATCTCTTACTTCTCTATTTTGTCACGTTGCTGTATAATTTTGAACCAGCTGAGTAAAGTTTCTCTGTTTCCTAAGATTTTTATTTTTTTTTTCTGTTTTTCCTCTTTTTCTACTCTTCTTTCTGGGCAACATAGGGTGATTTTCAGCTTTTCTTCTCTATTGCTAATAGTTTTTTTCACAAAACCTGCCAATTTGGCCAGGCCTGGTGGTGGGCTGAAAGAATAGGCTCTGTCTGATGGGCTGCCTTACTCAGCTCCTCAGGTGGGATCCCAGCTGCTCAGGAAACGAGATGAGCTCTTGCTCCTCCCCTTTGTGATTTAGTACAAGTCTGGCAAGAGAAGAGAAAGCAGGAAAGCTTTTTTCTTCCTGAGAGTGATAGGGAGAACTACCACGAGACTGTAAAAATAGGGACCACCTTTTTCATCTGTTCTACAGTACCTGGCCTGTGATTTAAGAGGAGTGGTCCTGTGCTGCAGCTGAATTTCCTTGGCTTGGAAAGGAAGGATGTGTCACCTGTAGCTGGAGGTAAGAAAGTAAAAAGCCAGGGTAGCTGCAGGGTGTGGTGTGGGATTGATGGAGGAGGGAGGTGGGCAGAGCCAGTGGTCCGGATGGAAGTGGGGATGGATGTGTTTAGAGATGGACCAGAAAGGGGTGGTAGGGCTGGTACCAGGGAGAGTGTGAATGGCACTATTGCTTTACTTGGTTTTGGAAGAGCTGGCTGTAGTAAATGTTGTGTGCACATTGGAGGTAGGGCATGGGGGATTCCAAAGTCAAAAGACTGACCAAATGCATCACTCTGTAACAGCAACAGCCATCTTCTTCCATGTGGACAACTCACCTCTGCTTTGTGTATCTCAGCCTGTTAGCTGTTTGTCTCCATTGTAATGTCAGTACCTGTTCTGTCCTTCCCTCAGTGCTTCTCAAATGGATGTTCTTGGGGCCTGTTGTCACCTTACTATCTGAAGCTCTCGCCTCTTTGCCAGTTGCTCTGTGCAATAAGTTAAGTCTTTCTTCTTACTCTGAGGGTCCCACCATGTTCTACTGCCCCGAATCCCTGCTGGTCGCAGCTTTTTCCCTGCTTTTGTGTCTTCCCGCGTGCATACAATGCCTTTCCAACCTCCTGCTCCCTAGGGAAAGGGAATGTCTTTGTGGAACCATCCAAGAAGGGAGCTAAATTTAGTAATATGATAAAAAAGGTAAATTGATAGAATCATGATAACATGTGTGTGTGCTTGAACATAATGACTGGCTGGTTACTCATTTGGCTCTTCTCATGTGTTTTGTGGCTTTCAGTTAGTGTGTCACAATTAAGATCAGATAGCATTTCCCCAGGTGGGACAGATAGCGAGACTCAGCTGTGCCTCATGATAAATCATTTACTTATGCCCCCAAAAAAGACAGCTCTAGGGAGCAGAGGAGTTCTTCATTTTTGCAAGACAGCTCACATCCAGATTGTTTCATCGATGGAGATGTAAGTTATCAGACTCAATGGCGGAGTCCTCAGTATAATTGTTTGTGGCTTCTACTGCAGTTATTTCCTTCAGCAGTACCCCTGGCTCACCGCCTAAAGGTGAGGGCTGGCTGTACCTCCTTGACTTTTGAAACTTGGGCAGTCCTTTTCAGTTTCTATAGTGTGGTGGGCAGTTGCTGGAAAAAATGTGATGTCTTGTGGCATCTTGTTCAGTTCCTCTTCCCTAGCCTAGAACAAGGCAACAAAGCCAGGAATGCTTTGTAACGAGGGATGGAAGCAGATCCGTGTCAAACATGTGCTGCAGTTCTTTCTACCCAAATGTGATCAGACTGTTACTATGGCTAGCACTGAATTTAGTCAATTTATTCTGGTGTCCATGGAAGATGCATCTTTTGCTATAGGGGGGAAAAAAAGACCGCTCCGGAAGTTTCCTCTCTCATGTATATTTTTAGAGTAATCTTGTGGGCTTTTGGCAAAAATAAACCTGGACTTCCAACATCTATGAGATGAATATAGGACCCGCTGTACTGCCATTAATCAGGTTTTGGTAGTAGGTTGTACATAAACTGGCTGCATTAGCTTGATTTATAAAAAGTAGAGGGGTTTAGGTGAACCTAAGCAAACACTGGAAAAATACACAGCAGAGTTAGATGACCTGGTTTTTTGCTTCAGCAGAAGTCTTCATGTCCTTCATTGTAAAATCACACACTTCCTTGTTTCCAAACTGAATTTTTTCCAGCCTAGCTGGTGGCTTCTTCAGTGTCTTTTCCAGGGCGCCTCTCTGTAGAGACATTAAAAGCTTTCAGCAGAGTATATTTTGATTTTGGGGTGACACTTGCCTTCGCTGCTTGCTTTCGGCTTTTTTTTTTAATGCATGGAGGTGAGGGGACTCTGATGCCAATGAAAGCCTAGAAATACTGAAGTGCTAAGAACCTCAGTGCTCATTCATGAGTGAGTGTTGTCTGCAGGGAGAATTCCCCTTTTCTGCTGAGTGATGTGTCTGTGAAGCTCGCAATATTGCTGTACACCCAGTTGATGTGGGGATTTGGTAACGAGGCCCTAAGCGTTTAGGGAAGCTACTTTATTACTGCTGAAGAGACTTAAGAATGGTTTTGTTAGAGCTTTGTGATCATGATACCGCTGGCCTCTGCTGCATACAAATGAGCAGCCCAATCCTAGAGCGCTTCTGCTGAGGGTGGCGTTTATTCCTGGAAAGATGCAGTGATTATATGATCAGCCAGGAGGCTGAATTCTACCATTTTCTATACGATAAGCAATTTTAGCAGTGTTAAACCCACACCAAGGACCTCGGGTTGAAATAGTCACTATCCTGTTACAAGTTTCCGGAGTTATCTGCTCCCCAGGCTCTTATTGCCATAAATAACTCTAGAAGTCAGGCCTCACTGCCAGAAGTGTTAAGTGCTGCAAATAGTATAGAAGATGACTCATTTTGTGAGATGAAGATGGAGCATGAATCAGTAGAAATAAAACCGATATACAAAGGAGACGTTTTGAATGTGGATGACACAAAATCTGAACAAAGCAATCTTCAATCATTACAAAAATGAAACAAAAGACTTTTTCAAAAGAAAAAAAGAAAGAAACTCTTCTATCTAATGAAAAAAGGCCGTTCTAGTGAAAGCCCAACGTGGGAAGGTATTGCATACTGAGCGTGTCATTCCTTACCCAAGATAAACTGTGGACTGCATAGGAAGAGATGAATGGAAAATTCTTCCCAATATGTCCAAACTACACAGAGTGTTCAGCAAGCAGGTTGCTTTCCAGATTGTTCTGTGTCTATATAAGCTGAGAAAAGAACTTATCTTTGAGTAAACAGTTTTGGGAGATCAAGAGTCCTCATAGCTTCAACAAACCCACACTGAAAGCTAACAGCAATGGAAATGTGAAAATAATAAACCTATGCACATCCCTTGTAAATGATAACTTGTGATAAGGGGGTAAAATTCCCATAGACTGTTCCATTTGAAACTGCAGCTTTTGGTCCTTTTGCTTACCCTCTAGCTCACGCACACAGGAGTGCCTTTAAAGGCAGACTTGGAAAAAAGGTAGCCGATAAGACGGTATCCTACAGCGGCTGGTGCACTGAGGAACTAAAGGGCCCAGTGCTGCCTATAATTCAACTCCTGCCACTTCTTGGGAGTAGGAGTATTTATTAAGAGCTTAATGTAACTCTTCAGGGGCGAGGATTAAACATTTTTAAGTTTGACATCAGCTTTGATTCTTTGGACATTAGGAAGAAGTTCTTCACTGAGAGGGCGCTCGGTGCCTGGAACAGGCTCCCCAGGGCAGTGGTCATGGCACCAAGCCTGTCGAAGTTCAAGGAGCATCCGAACGATGCTCTTAGTCATAGGGTTTAGCTTTAGGTAGTCCTGCGAGAAGCAGGGAGTTGGAGTTGATGATCCTTATGGGCCCCTTTCAACTTGAGATAGTGTGTGATTGTATACAATCTTTCTGAAGCACTGGAGTTTGGTGTTTTTGTTTTTTTTGTGTTTGTTTTTTTTTGCCCCCTCACCACACCGCC